GAAAACTAGTAGATCTGTTTTATCGTTATTGCCTTGTTTCTCTGGGTCACAGAGACGCAATAGCCTCAGTTCAAGATTGTGTTCAAAGGAGAGATGTCAAGACTGAGTTGTTTTCTGGTAAAGGAGGAATGGATAAAATATTCAATGCAGTCGTCTGCACTTGCCCTTGTCTTTGTATTTCTCAGCTAGAATCTCACCGCATAGCTCCACAGTTCTTGAACGTTTTTAAAACTTGAATTATTTTTTTTCAGATTTGAGGAAATGTGTAACTTTTTAATTGGCTAACTATTGCAACCTCTATTATATAACTTAAAATACATCCTTTGTTACATGTGTAAATTAGGCAATTCTGCTTGCTAAAGGTAGTAGCATACTTTTTGTGAGCAGTTAAGCCTATTTTTAATGTCCATCTGGTGATGTTACTGTAATTTAATGCGTATTTTGACTCTGTCTCAGTGATAGTAGGTGTCGTTTTGGATTAATGTCAATGAAAAATTGTCTGTTTTTATACATTCTGTCACATCCACATTGAGTGTGTGTTTCTCTGGAACATGTTTTGTGCTTATCTGGTGGTCTAGTGTAGCTTTGAACAGTATTTTATTTCCATCATTTTTGTTCTACTTTTCCTGAAATGTGTTTTTGTATAGGAGACAATCATAAATGCAGCCGACAAACTGAGAAATATGTCCCAAATGCTGCATTACATGGGAAATGAGTTTAAAATGCCTCAAATGTGCCCTTAAACAGGCCAAAGTACCAGAGTTACCCTTTTCTGCCATTTCTCTCTTTTAGATCATAGGTTCAAATCTCACTGTCTCAGACAGTTTGGCAATCCAACAGTATAATTAAAAACCTAGATATACACACAGCCATCTGCCCTGCTGTACTGCTGGGGTCTGAGCAAAAGGACATGGAACTCTAGAGAGAGATTCCTATTGACTTCAGTGAGCTAGTCTCTGCAGAGAACATGGTACCATGTTTTGAATGCTTGCTTCTGTATTTGATTTCCTGAGCCTCTCTTTCCTATTCTACTCTGTGCACCACTGCAAAATGAAGGTACGCAATTCATGGGCAAAGCACAAAGAACATGGGTGGAGCCTAACAGAGGAGAAGCCAACTGCTCTATACTGTCGTCTTCTTCTCTGAGATTTGCAACCTGAAAAGTGAATATAACACACACCCAGTGTGGGATGGAGCAGCAAGGCTGGACAACAGAAAATGGAATAGGGGATAGAGAAATGAAGTTGCCCATAGCCAATTTCTGTATGTCCTTTCTAAATGAAGGGGCAGAACAAACTGAAATGTAAATATTTTCCTGGTCTAAATCCTGCCTTCTAAAGGCCCCTCTTGTATTAAAAACAGTAGTTCATTGCTTTACAAAAAATAGTCATGATATATAAATTGAAGTGGGCATGATTCTGTGATAGCTTGAATGTGGTGAGCTATGAAATAAAGGTTGTAAACAATTTCTAGCCATTTATGTATTTTATTAGAGCTTTTATCTTTGTGACTCCTTTATTAGTTGCTATGGATACAGGCAACATAGAGCTTATTAATGAAAAAATCTATCACACTGATAAAAATGTGTTGGGTTTTTTTTGGTCAGATATGCATTACTTCAATCCTACTATGCTCGACAATTAGTTTTAACTGTGTTTGCATTCTTGTAAATAATTTTAAAAATCTGTGGCAATTAATAGTGTATGTTTTTGCCATATGGAGCATTGCAGAATGATTTTAAGAACAGTGCGATACCAAACTGAAATTGGTGTCATTCTAAATTAGGGATTACATTGACAGGTTTGTGTGCTGTCGATTTAAATGCACTCTTTGTTCTAAAATTGTTCATAAAAATCCGCATTGTATAACCAGATCACAAAATAGTATTGGATAGCTGAGTGTCTTACAATACCGGGGCTGTTATGAAAACACAAACCTGACTTTCAGGTTACAAATGTCACATTTACACTACCAGCTATAAAAAAAATTATGATCTTTCCAACAAAAAATTAAGTATTTCAGAAAATAAATGTAACAAGGGTGATTTATTTCATCTTCATTCCAGCCACTTTGGCCAGTGAACACGTGGTACTTATTTGCTACAGTGGTTTTCAGACTATTAAAAAATAACAGAATTTGCCTGCTTTTTTTTTTTGAAAGCAAGCTTTCTATGAAGAAATGAGAAAATTAGATTGTTTCATTCTATTAATACTTTACAGTTGCAATATGTGTCTAAACGGACATGCTATGATAGTATAGAAGTATTATCAGCATGAGTTTGGAATAGTTTCATTTCCTCAGAAATAAGTCTGTCACGGGTCCAGCATTAACTTTGCTGGACATCAGGCCAGTGTAATTTGTAGGAGCGGAAAGGAGGTTCAACATTTGGAGTGAAAGGAGGAAAACATGTCTGAGTCAGGTTACTTAGAAAAAGTTGGCTTTTTGGAGTTTTGGAATAATGACAATGGCACTGGCAGAAACAGCTGAGTGATCAGAGTGCAGATGAGAGGCCATCAGAAAGTGCATGGTACATGCACTTCTTCATATAGTTCTGCAATTTATCACGTGGATATTGCTGTCACATACGTGGTACAGTAAAAATAGATGCTCACATGATGTTCAGGGCCGGCTCTAGGGTTTTTGCCACCCCAAGCCAAAAAAGCCTCTGGGAGCGCAACTGCCGAAGGAAAAAAAAAAATTTGTCCGGAATGCCGCCCCTGAAATTGTGCTGCATGTGCTTGGTTTGCTGGTGCCTAGAGCTGGCCCTGGTGATGCTGGTCACAGTGCAAAGTGTGACTTGAAACAGCTAGAGTAATGGGCTGTCCATTGGCGAGACCCTCGGCCTTCAATGTGGATGAACAACCCTTTCAGTTGCCGCAAACATTGCCCTCTTTGTGGTAAAATTTTGCTGGTGAATCTTTGACTTCACTGTCCCATTCTCAAAATACAGCTCCACACAGGGAGCTCCCAACCTGTAATGCTCTATAATTGACTGTGGTTGTGGGCATCTACACTGCCCATCCCCCATCCTGTACAGCAGTGGTCCCCAACGCGGTTCCCGTGGGCGCCGTGGCGCCCGCCGGGGCATTTATGAGTGCCCGCCTAGTGCCCAGCAGGGGAGAGAAGCCGCGGCCCCACGCCTGATGGGGACAGAGAACTCAGGCTGCGGGCGTGGTGTTCTCTGTTCCCGGCAGGCACGGGGCCCGCCTAGTGCCCAGCAGGGGAGAGAAGCCGCGGCCCCGCGCCTGCCGGGGACAGAGAACTCCGGGGCTGCAGGTGCCGGTGTTCTCGGTCCCAGGCAGGCGCGTGGCCGCGGCTTAAGCTGGAGAGAAGCTGCGGACCCGCGCCTGCCGGGGACAAAGAACTCCGGGGCTGCAGGCGCTGGTGTTCTCAGTCCCCGGTAGGCGCGGGGCCCGCCTAGTGCCCAGCAGGGGAGAGAAGCTGGGGCCCCGCGCCTGCTGAGGACAGAGTACTCTGGGGCTGCGGGCGCGGGTGTTTTCCATCCTCGCGGCTTCCCTCTTCTCTCTGGATTCATATATTACGTAACATTAAATATGATATTTTTCATATTATTTAATGTACAAATACATTACAAATTGAAAAATTGTTGGCACCTGCCACACTCTTCTGAAAACATGAATGTGCTACTGGCCACAAAAAGGTTGGGGACCTTTAATAACTCGACAGAGGAGAAATAACTCATGAGCAGTATAGTCATGAAAGTGAGTCTCTCTCTCTCTCAAGGCAAGTGAAGAGAAAGGCAATGAAGAAATCAGCCACTCTGTGCCCTATTCAGAATGTACTGTATTTTTCCTCTTCAGGACTAGAGTTGCATATAAGTAAATGTTTTATAACGTGCTACAATAAAGATCCTTGAATATTAAACTTTTTATCTTCTAAAAAAAAAAACCCTGGGAGCATTTTGAAGAATGGATGAATCCTGGTAAGTTTTGGGTTTCGAAACCGTCTAGAACTCTTCAAAAACATTCTAGAAGTTTTTCAAAATATTTTAGATATTTCAAATCCTTATTTTCTAAGTTATTTAATATTTTTCTTTGTTAAAAATCACCTGGAAGCAATGAAAAGTTGTACAAACCAACAGTGGTCTCCTCAATGGAAAAATCCTCGATGTTCCGGTGTAGCAGGCTTTCCATTCTAGAACCAACAACATTCTAAAAGGGCTATAAATTGTAGACTTAGTTCTTAGATCTTGAGAATTTAGTACTCTGGTTTTAAGATCAGTAATTGGGGCTGGTATAGTGAATGAAACTCATCTCTGCACAGAGGGCCAGCTAGTCCTGGACTAGTTAGGTGCAGAAACTATTTAACTTGGCTTCGAAAATGTTTTTACCAATGCTTGTCTGCACTACCTCATACTGCCGGAGGCTTCCTCTCATGCCAGGTTTTTCACCTGTTTAATTTTGTCCGTCTACCAGCTGAGGATTGATTGTGCCCTGTAGCAAAATTGCTTCAGTCTCTCATCACCTTGGGCCTGTGTTGGTGCAGCCCAGAGGACAGTATCAGCGTCTAGTCCAGACTCAACTGCCCATCCAGTCCGCTACTAGAGTAATCACATTAGCCACATGTTGATATACATCCAGCACATTCTTCTAGTCCTGGGTACAAAGAACCGGGAAGATGGTTCAGACTTGCACATCAGCCCTCTATGATGACCTGAAGCTGCTAAGCTAGCTTCGAGAAAGACTTTTGACATTTAATGAGTTAAGTATTTCTCTTGTGTAACTTGACAGACTTAAATGGAGTTAACTAGAGATGCATTTGTGTTTTGCATAAACAGGGAGGGCCCAATCTCATAAACATGAATGCATGTGGATAGCTTTCCTCACAGCCGTAAAGTTTCTGACACGTGTAAGGGTTAGGCTCATAGTTATCAATTTAGGATACTAAAAAAAAAATCCAACGTTAAATCCATATAACCTGAAAGTGAAAAGAATCTTGGTTTTGCTGTAGAACATTCATGGTCTTTATTTCTCTTACAGGTTTTGGGCATGACCAGTGGAAGTCAGGCTGGTTTTGGGGCTCCTTCATCCAGACAGTATGCACGACAGAAAATAACTCGAGTAAACCTCAGGGACTTCATCTTTTACATGGAACAGGAAAGAGAAACTAGCCATTCTCTCCTGCTCTACAGAGCTTTGCTTAAATAAAGCCAAGAATTGTACTGGTTTTCTCATAGAGAAGCTCAACCTGCATTGAAAATCTGTAATTTGAATGTGCCTTCTATTTTTTTTTCAGATGTCAGTGTTCCAGTAGTTTGTTTTTGCAAAGTTGTCAGACACATGCAATAAATCCCCCTTACATAAAAAGAAAGAAAGAAAGAAATGAAAATGTGCAAAAGGTTTTTAAAGAGGTTAAATCCATGGATACAATGTATGCTTAAAGTTTTATGGCGTTTGGCCATTTTTAGATGAGGATAACCTGAGTAGATGAGAGGGAGTTTACACAAATTCAGAGCCGGATTGCAAATGCTTACACCAGTCGTCCCATTGATGACACTGGGCAACTTGCAAGAAGGGTTTGTAGGATTGGGCCCCAAGGATGGTATTTGTTTTATTAGCAGTATGTTCAATTACAGTGCTACCTTTTCTCTGTTTCCTTAACTTTTACTAGCACTATTTTCATTGACTAACCACAGTGATGCCTATTATCATTTTAGATTAGTTATAACTGCAATTTTTTGCACAGCTGAAAGAGTAGCCATCCTACAGTCCCACAAATTTTATATATTTATGATTTTTGCTTTTACTACTCATTTGCTGAGCCAATTCCTAAGTGTATGAAATCTGTGCATTCAGGTCCCAGCAGAGTTACCTTGAATAGCTTCCAGTTGTTTTCTAAATCTGCTCAACCTTTTGCACATTTGTAGCAGCTGGTTAGTAACATGAATCTGAGTTGGTTTTTTATTTTAAAAAATCTTTATTTATTGTGAAGAGTATGGTCTAATTGTGGTTTTAAAAATGAGAGAGTAAAGATTTTAGAGTATTCTACACCGATTTTTAAAGTCATGGTCAAAAACGGTTGTGTTATAGAGGGGCCAGTCCTGCTCTCATTGGGGTCAGTGGGAGCAGTATTAAGTCCTCAGGGTCCAATCCTGCAAGGTCATCAGTGTCATCACAGAAGTCACTGGGAGTTGACCTTGCCTTGCATGATCAGACCTTGAGACCCCGATCCAGAAAATCACTTAAACATGTGAAACTTTCAGCATGTGATAGGTGTAAGTATACACACGTGCTTAAATGCTTTGCTGGACTAGAGCATAAGTTACCAAAGCCAAGGCGTGTCTTCTTAATAGGCTTTGGATATGGCATTCAGTAAGCAGGTGGACACCAGACACCACAGTATTTTCAGTAACTACTGAAGGGAGGCATTTGTTTATTTATATTTTCAAATTTTACCACGTTTATACTTGCCACTTTTTTGAGGCAGTATTTTTTTTTGGATGGGAAACAATACTGAAAGCACAAATAGAACTATCTGTCCAATAGTTTTAAAAACAAAAATTTTAATTATATTTTAAGATTTGTTAAAAGCAGAACAAAATTTATACTGCTGCTATTTAGCCAAAAGATTATTCATAACGTATTTAAGGCCAGGAAGTGTAAAATTATGTTTTAAATGTACTGATAATGTGTACATATTGTTTATAAAGATCTTGTGTTTATTAGAATTATGTTATTTTGATTATTTCTGTACATACTCGTAAATACCCCAATTTGTGTGAAAACATACTTCCTTATTTGTACTTATTTTGTAAAGAAATAAAACAATTTACTAAAGTAACACATTTGAGTGACATACAGTATTAATTTATCAAACATTAATTTCAGTTTCACATTGTCTTGTAGTTTTTAAGCACTGTTCAAAAACATTTTGCATTAAAATATTAACAATACCCACAAAGAAATACTAAAACTGAGTATTTAATGTTCTGTTGTGCTGATTCTTATTCTTTGTCAAACATCTAATAAAACTGTCAACAAACCTTGATGCTATTAAATACAGTCAGTGAATGCACACAACATTTGCTTTCTTAAAGATTTGCCCAATAAGCACAACATAACATTTTCCTTTCACTTTTCTGTCAGACTTGGGAGCACAGTGGCACAGAACAGTACATGTAAAAGTGCTAGAGAAGACTGAAGTTCTCAAAACCACAGTTTCAGTGCTCAGCAAAGAGATTCCAACCAATTTTGTTCAGTGAAATTAGATTAAAAAACAAGGTATGTTTACTTTTCGGCCTTCAAACTAAAAGCATTCGCTGTCTGCAAACCACAGTTTTACTAGAGATGTGATGATATTTTAAAAACTGTTTTACATGACACTGAGCAATGTTCTTAATCAAGCTGTATTACTATGGTTTAGGAAAGAAGTAAAAATTCACATCAGTTTTTGCTGATATTGCTACTTTAGAATATGGGGATATAAAAAAGTAAAAGAGATACAAATGAAACTGTAATAAACATTAAATCAGTGACCTGAAGTCGCTAACTAAAAGAACATGTCCTAGCTTAACTTTTCCTTTTAAAAAAAAAGGGCATATTTCTCCTAACGAAGTGATTGTTTCCATATGTCTTGCTTGCTGCAATGCTGTTTTGCAGTTAATGTTGTGATGTCATGGCTCAAACTTTCCATCTCAAGTTCACATTTAACTCAGTTGGAGCAGCCTGGAATCTTTTATGATGCCACCTTACCAAATTGCTGTCAGTACTGTAGCTGCTTTATTGAGCTATAAAAATATGGTGAACACCAAACTGAAGAAAACAGACAAACAAAACCACAAATACTTAATGGCTCTCTACATAAATCTAAAACATTCTGCCTATGGGCTTGATCCTGAGAGCAGCACAGGGCCCTTCAACTTCCATTTTACTTCAACTGGAGTTGACAGTCCTCACCCCCTTGTAAGAGGTGCTTAATATCAGTTCCTACTGATACAACCCGGGACACAAGCAAAAACTCCTGTTGATTTCAGCAGTTTTGCCTGAGTAAGGACTGCAGGATTGGCCCATACTCCTGAAGCCTGAATGTACCATAACTACAGAAGAACTTTCCTCTCCTAGCTGAATGTTAATGAATGAAACAGTATGCACGGACACATAAGGGTCCAGCCTCCATTTCTCTCTGAATCACTCTGTTCAGGAAATGAATACAAAACCGGAATATACATGGTAAAAGCTAGGAGCTAAACTGATGCTTTAAGGAGAATTTGAACAGAAGTTGAACTAAATCCATAGAATCAATAAACAAACACTGTTTTTGAAGAGATGGCTACAATAAGCTGAAGTCAGTCAAAGGCCAAGGAAATACAGCCCAAGCTTCTTACCTCTCTTGAAGAATGTGGGGGATAAAGTGAGTGTTCATTCTACTTGCTGCAGTTTTGATCTTTTACTTTACAGAAATGTTTATGGCATGAAGTTCTGTATAAGAAATGTGTATACACAAATACATGACAATTATACGTTAAATTTTTTTACAATATTAAATGTATAATATACAATTCTACAGATATCTTACAGAGAAAGGTAACGTAGTGCCATCTTTTCAAATATGGCAGTACCTAGCAATTTTATTTAGTGTGTCAAACGAGCATAAAACCATGACATAAAATAACTTTAAAAATCTTTAGACAGATTTGGCCAAATGACCGACAACTGTTCTGCTAAGGCAGCAGGCCAGTAGGCTAAGATTTTCATGAATGACTTGTGATTTTGGGTGCCCAATCTGGGGCAATTTGAAGAGGCCTGATTTTTCAGAGGGAATTTTCCAAAAATCAGAGCCACGATACAGTCTCCAGCATGGGCACCCAAAATCACTAGGCACTTTTGAAAAATTGAGTGTTAAACTCCAGGTCCTAATTTGTGCCCAAGTAATCAGATGGCATTAGAGAAACAGAATTGTCAAATATTGCTGACTATTTAATACTCGGTCCCTTGTTCTATATAGCTGTACTTACGCGTCTAAAAACAGTTTAATTAAAATTCAGCATCTACAACAGTATTCTATAAATTATTGTGGGAGAAACTAAATTGCGATTAACACATGAATTAGTTATTGAGGACCCAATCATGCTAAACAGCAGTAAACAGGATTTAGCAGAATGCTATTTATATACTTGCACCTGCAAACACAGTGCTGTCTCCTGAGTTAAGGAAGCTGCATAAGTCAGAAGAGTTGATACTGTATTTGTTAAAGGAACAGTAACCTCCTACAGACAAATGGCTTCTTTAAAGCAAAAAATACAGATACAGGGCAGCTAGAAAATCAGTATTTTAATCGTATTTCAAAATTAATAGAAGGAAAAATAAACAAAACCTGGCCTGCTCCTGTCAGACAGCGAGAAATATGGGGCTTTATCATTCTTTGTAAAAATTCCCGGGCCATGGAGAGTAGGGGGTGTCCAAAATGTTTAACACCTGCTCCGGTACATGGGATTTAAGTAGGTTTAGTAAAAGAATAACAAAGGGCAACGGCAGATGCTTTGGCAAATGCTTGGCAGAACCACCACTCCACTGATGATGCAAAACACTGAAACTCTGAGAGAAACAAGAAAAAATTGGCATCTCAAAAGAACTATAACGCCACATTTGGGGCCCGTGCTATGCCATTTTGATGTCAGATGGCCTTACTAAAAAGTGCCTACTTTTGCACATATTAGCCACAACTAGTCCTCAATTGTGTTTAAAGAACTGAGCACCAGATGACTATGAATTGGTCCTTCTCTGATTTTGTATTCTGTACACAGTTATTTCAGTTGTAAATGTTTTATAAAAATAAGCCATTTGCTAGCACAAATGAGTTACAATCACAGAAATGTAACATAACATATGGAGGTGTAAAGCACATCTGATATGAGAGAAGTGTGGCATTCAGACAGGGAAGATACTCAGTGCAGTTTTTAAGGTACCATCTTCCTTTTGGTGGACCCTGTTTCATTGCCTTAGAATATCACTGAGGAGGGAAGGGATGCTGTCAAAAGAACTGTCGTTTCTCCAGCTGACATATTCAAATTGCTTTAATTGGTCTTTCTGCAGAAGCCCAATCAAGGGGTCAGTACTTTGTGAAGCTTTGCCTTTTTCAACATCACAGCTGTTCGGTTGAAAGTACATTCCCACAAAGCCTTGTACGCTGAGCATGCTCAGTTGTTCATCATGAAAAACAAACAGGTGGTTTTTCAAATGTGTTTCATGGCTGGCTATGAGACAGGTAGTTTTCGAATATCACTAATTGGCAACATAAAGTCACAATTTGTTTGCTAATACTGTTTTGCAAATCCTTAGTGTTTCACATAAGGGACTATTAAACACTTCTATGGTTACAAAGGAGGAAGGGTTGGTTCTAGTCCAGGGGTTCTTGCTTTATTCTGATTGTTGGGGTGGGTTGTGGTCTTCTGTCTTCACGGCACAGCACATATTCACTGAACTGGGAGGAATCTACCCCTCCACCACACGAAGCTGCCACGTTAAATCCCTTCTGAAACAATCTTTCTAGCACCTGCAATGTGAAAAAGAGTGCAGATTAATTTTAGCCAATTTTAGGCATTAGGGAATATGATAAAAGCATCCTGGAGCAGTGGATCTGAATGATGCATTTGGTCATTCCAGATCTCATAGAATGAATATTATACAGCTATAATTTTATAACTTATTCTTAAATGACTACACTGTGATTAAAGTCTCGCTTACAGCAAACCTCGGTTGAAAACAAAAATTAATCAAACAAATAAGCACTCAACAGAGCAGTTCAGTACATTATATAGTAAAATACTGGACTGCAGTGATATTGATGCTCTCTCTTACAGGAAAATAACACTAGGTTTAAGTCATAATAACAAGTGCCCATAATTCATTATTAATATGGAAAGTCTCAAGAAAAAGGGCTGCAAAGATTTTGAGCCCTTCCCGAGCTCAAGTATGTATCATGGGTATCTTTTGAGTGACACCTCCCAAGGCTCTCTAGCATCAATCTCACAGACTCCTCCTCCTCTTCCTAGAATTTAGTGCTGCTTTCAGAAACCATGAATGGGATGGGGAGGCCAGAGACAGGTGGGTAAGAAAACAAATTGGCCCAAACAAACAGGTTAATCGTATTTTCCACGTATTTTTTTTCTTTTAAAGAAAACTTGGGGTATTTTGGATGCATGAGTTAAAGCAGCCCAGAGGCAGCTTTAATTTGCATGACTGGCACTTAACGCTGCAGATCACCCTTGGCTGGATGACAGGGGTCATGTTTGCACATGGATGAACTGTTGATGAACTATTTCTCCAACATATTAGGTGTGCACACAGGCTTTTCAGCAGCAGGTATGCCTGGACGCTAGTTTCATGTGCTTTTCTTCAACGGTCATGGGTTTGAAACCAATCAAAGAGAACCTCACTCACTTGCTCTAGGTGAGGTCAAAACTGAGTCAAGGGCAGTAACACTGCACACAGTCGTCTGCCATACTCCTGTCGCTTACTTTCATTGTTCACTCCAGTGCCATAGGGGGCTTCACTGTTCTTTTCCGGCTGAAGTGCAGCTCTAAGGGCTGGAGATTGATTAATACTACTTGAGATAGGAACATCCAGTGAACGCTCTTTTTCATATGGGCCTAGAGTGTACTTTAGCAGCAGTTGTTTTAGGCATCAGCAATGACCATATCAGTGTGGGAAGAATGGACTTAAGGCAGTTTCCTCATGCGTCTCCCAAATAGGCCAGGCAATGCCTATGTACTGCCATTGTAGGAGCAGAACAAGAGTCTGTCCTCTGCTACATCCCATTGAGTTCAGTGGGGAAACACGGGTGTAAATGGAAGAATAACTTAGCCCACTGTGCACAATAAGATTTCCTGAATAACAGTGCAAAAGGAATCAGCACACCCATATTTGAAATCTGCATCCAAATACTTTTCCAGCCAAACCTTTGCACTGCTACACTACGAATATTCTTTAGGCCAAGTACTATGCAGTAAAGTGCCATAGAAATGATCCACAGAGGAAATGCTAATGTTAGCATATAACTTTGAAAAGTCAGGATAGTGTCGTTAGTTTGTTTAAATGAACTGACACAATACTTACTTTACAGACAGGAAACACTGTTCCTGCCTATTTTGCTACCTATAAATGTCACCAAGGGTGAGCAGATTGTACTATTCTTAGAGTACATAAAGATCTCTCTCATAATATAGGTATCACGTAAATCACCATGTCACAGAACCAGGACATTTGGGACCACTGCAGTAAAAACTGAGCTTGATTATTTAGCTAGTTAAAGCTAAGTCCTGGAATGATCTATTGAATAATTTACCAGCAGGACTGTCAGGCCATGCTGTTGCCTTATTTTAAAAATTGTTCAGTTGACTAGCTATTTTGTCCCAACAACGCAATAAGCATAACTTTAGTCTATACTATTGGGTGAGGAGAAAACCCATACGGTGTTTGTATAGGATCTACACTACAGAAGAGAAACCATTCCTTTTTAAGCCTTGTAATGAATGACAACATTAGATGGATTTTTTTTTTGTTCTGCATACTATACGTGCCATCAAATCTCATGCTTTAAGGCATGAAGTGATCGCTAGGGGGGAATAAAAAGGAATCTCATGCCAGACTTCTGCCCTGGCCCCCACGCACATAACCATGCTAATGACGACAGGCATTCTTGAGGATGTTGCTTCTTTTGCTTGCTTTCTCCAGAGGCAGAACACTGAATCGGAGTAGCCAATGGTGTGAACTCAGTGTAGTAGATCCATGCTGGTTCATCTGTGGGAGCCTTCCTTTGAGGCCTCTAGTATTAGCCACCAGAAGTTTGAAGAGTTGAGTTTTTGGAAGGCAACTAAAACCTTGTGCTCACTAGCCTAGCTTCCGAAGACTGGCAAAGAAAAGGAAACACTCATTCTAGCACAGCTTTGCCTGAGTCATGCAGTCTGCTCTGAATCAGCTTGCCCTGCGAGCTCCGTCTGGCCCTGGGACAAAGTGATTTGTGTTCTAATAAAGTTACATCTGCCAGATCTCACTGACTTTTGCCCTGATTTTTATGGAGTTTATGTATGTAAGAAAATATTACAACTGAAGGGAGGAAAAGCCACCTCAGCAATTGAAAAGAAAACAACAGACAAGAAGATAAAGGGAAGAGAGAGAATTTGAGGTAAAAGTATAATTAAAAGAAACGAAAGTCCTCCCCCCTTCTTCAAAAATGAAGAGAGGTGGGAGCTGGGATACAAGCAGACTAGGGGCAAGAATGGGATGCAGGGCATAGTACTATTTTGTCAGCATTGCCCCTTCTAAGACAGAAGGGAGATGCCAGTAACTTGAGCAGGAGCGCTGATCAAGGAATCGAGGAGTTGTAGGGAAAGCCACAGGCTGGGATTTATTTTTTAATAGACTTAGCCTAGGCAAGGTGGAGACAAGAATCAGTCCCCCCCCTACAGCAGGTGCTGCATGACACAGGGGGTCTCCGATTAACTGGAATGAGAGAGGTGGGATCGATAGGTCAAAGCTCAGTGTTGGCATGGATGTCAATATCTTTACTACAAACTTTAAAAAAAATCCATTTGCTAATAATGCAAAACTAGTGCTGAGATGCTGTTGGCTTAGTCCATAGGTATGGCAAGCTGCATGTTAGCTCTTTACTGAGCCAGCTATATAAAAACACACAAACCAGACAGACATTACATCTTTAAAACTCTGCACATAGAACAAAGTGCTACCTGTGTGCTTGGAGGACTAGACTGCAGGCTGTAACCTTGTGTTCAAAATGCAGGTATCATCAATTTTCTGAGCAAGAAGCAAAATGGGTCAAATCCTGTAACAATGCTGCGATGTTTAAATATTGTACTATTTTAACTGCATCTTGCATTAGGTTATACTGAATGCTATGAGCAAAATCTACAGAATGCCCCCTCCGCTGCAGGTCTACAATATCTGTGCGTGCATGTTGCGCACTGCTGTGTGTGAAGTTCCTAGTGCACACAGGAGGCTGAGAGTGCTCTTGCACATGGATAAGTGGAAGCCATATTTTGCAAACTTGGCCCTAAGTATATGTTATACTGCTATAAAAAGTAAGATGGCAAATATATGACCGTATCTGTAGAATAAAATCTGAGCTACTTTCCTTTAAGTCTCCAAAGACAATATGCCAAAAAGTAAATGAATCTCAGCTGCGATTTCCCATAATCAATATGAAATAGTGCAATTATGTTAGGATTTAATATAGTCTCTCTGCCAGGCACTCTAAACACACAGAGACATGAGCTGTTATTTTGTTGGGAAGGTCTCCAAACAGAAATATGATACCTTAATGCATTTCATTTAAATTTTGCAGAGTGATATTAACAAATATGGTCTTAATTATAAAGTATTGAAATGTTCAACATTCACAATTTTCACAGCATTTTCTCTGAAGAATATTCATATAGTTCACTAAGTCCTGTTGTCAGAAGATTAAAAAAATAACTTAAATTATAGGAAAACTTTATACTCTAAATGCAGCTACAAATGGGAATTTTAAATTGAGGGCTGCTATTTTTTTTGGCCATAATCCACTAACATGTTGACATTATTTGTTTTATATGTACAGTTTCATATGAGTCCTTGATATGAAAAAAGAACAGGAGTACTTGTGGCACCTTAGAGACTAACAAATTTATTAGAGCATAAGCTTTCGTGGACTACAGCCCACTTCTTCAGATGCATCCGAAGCTTATGCTCTAATAAATTTGTTAGTCTCTAAGGTGCCACAAGTACTCCTGTTCTTTTTGCGGATACAGACTAACACGGCTGCTACTCTGAAACTTGATATGAAACATCATTTCATGAAATAATTTGTATAAGTTCCAAAAAATTCATAAATGTTTCAATAATAAATGCTGTATGTCAACCAGGAATGTGGGGTACTGGAATGAACTAATGCTGAAAACAGGCACCCCATTAAAGAACATGCAGTATGAGCAAGTTACTTTTTGCTTTTCTATGTGACACTACTCTCCATAACCTACCAAAACAAATGCGTTCGGACCTCGCCTGAGTGTTTGTGTTTACAGTGCATTGTTGGATTTGTCATTGACTAGCATGATCCTTCATTCTTTTATTTCTTTTCAATTTCTTTAATGCACCTAACCATAGCACATAAACAATGTGCACTAAAACAGTTGCACTAACACCTTTAAACTGACTCACCCAACCTATCTAGACTGCAGACACCCCCTTCCTCAGTCATGCAGAAAGCTTGTTAAAATGCCATGTCACCAGCAAAGGGCCCTGCCTTTGACCCACCTCCGCGGACTCCATTTTGTTGGGTCAGAATGTGACCCGACCTAATTTAAAACCTCACTCAAATAGAAAATGCACATGGACCTGTGCAAAACTAGCCAAGGGCACTGAGTTCATCAGCTGAGCTGAATGAAATGTTTGGGAGTGTTTAGTGTGAAACCAAAATTTGCCAATAGATCTGTTTTTCAGACAGGTTTAATGCAGAACGCATCAAGGAATGTTGTTACAGCAACTTTAATTAAAGAGGAAACTTGTTAATGTAAAATACAGATTATTAAAGCAAATCTGCATATATTATTATATGTCGGAATGTTTTCTGCATATTTAGTGCTCAGAAAATGTTCTAGATTGGCAGCCTGGGAGACTGACCCTCTGCTTAGTCACGGAACAGGTACAATGGTGGCAGCACAAGCTCTTTCACGCTGCCCCACTGATATGCCTCTCCTCTCACATGAAGGGACCACCTCTAGGAGGCTAGACTAGAGCTCTGTAAAGTCTGGCTGCCCGCTGGCCTTTCTGATTAGATTGCTTAGAGTACCGGTTGGTCTCTGAATGAGTGTCCACTAGGAAATGGCCCCAGACCTCAAAGTCTTTCCCACAGTCCAGCTAATGGAACAGCTATAGATGTTAATAACTTTGGAACTGGTCACTCAGAGGTTGAAGGCTTCATTTCTCATACTAAAAATAATCGAAGACAGACATCCTCCTTGCAAAATATTTTAAAGATATACATCCAAAATAAGAGAACTTTATTTTGCCTTGACTAATTAATGTCTGTGTTAACAGCATAATCAGCACTGTTCTTTCCACTCGGGACAAGGACTACTACCAACTTCTGCAGCTTTGCCCACAGTTGTATGTGTCGTTCCCTGTGACAGACCAGTTATAGCCCCCAAGACAACTACCTAAAGACCAGCCCGGTATTTATTCCTACTTCCATCCACCTATCAGTCCAGTTATCATTTTTTGTTTCATATGTTTAATTTTAATCCTAATGTCAAAACTCTGAGTAGAAAATGAAATACATTTTGTTTAAAATACTCTGGGCAATTTTTATAGAACATCCTTTTGAAAAAAAAAAAGTGCAGAGATCAATTTTTTTAAGTCCATCCCGCAGGCACCATCATTTAATTATGAGTGAGACATAAATTATGCATTTACACATTGTTGCATTTTCTATAAAATGGCATGGAGATTTTTTTTTGTAGTTTTTGGAACTCTCTTTTTCTTCCCAGGGGCACTTTGGAGGGAAAAAATGCTGTGGGCTATACATTGATGAAAAAATTAGCATTTATCAGTATAACACTATTATGAGACCAGCATGGCACTAACATACACAAAATCTAAATCTATTTTTCTGCTTAGACTTGGGAAAACCTGAAAGACTGTGATTGCACCAGGCAAAAAATAGGTAATTGAGCAGAAGCAAATAATCTGCATATAACTGAACATGAAATAAAAAAAGTTACAACATGAGACAGCATTGCTTGAAAGGTCATTACCTGCACTGAATTCAACCGGCAGTATCCATTCAAAGGAAACCTAATAACATGGGTTGGATCTTGGTTCCAACCTGCATTTACAGAGTTGCACATGACATCCCCAGTCTCGGGGAAGATCTCTTCTATTAAAGCTTTCTCCCCACTCAGTGCAATCCTTTCCCCAAGATCTGGAGTCACTCTTACGACCAGGCAATCACAAGGCTGGAAATGTTTCCTTTGTTCTTTCTCTTGTTTCCATCGCTCGAGTTCCTTAATCATTGGCTGCAGCTGGTAATACTTTGCTTCTTCATATAAAAGATTAAAGTCCTATAAAAAGAAAAAAAAGGAGAGAGAAGAAATGCTTATGGTTCTCTTTGTAAAATGAATATTGTTCCCCTGTGACCTACTTAGGCTTATGTATTGTCAGCAATAGCGCAAAGTCAACAGGTATCCAAACTGTCTTACTCTTCTACTACGTAACACCTACAAAGGAAGCCACACTATATGAGTTTTAAATCGTCTTGAACAAACTGTGAACTTCCCATTGCTCTGAATCATTCTTTCATGTTTATTATCCCACAAGCTCAATGTCAAAAGGCTTTTCTTTTGGATTAAGCAATCAAAATAACTGGTTGCAATAAGCAGGGCCCGCTGATGTCAGAGGAGAGAGACGAAGCTTTATTCTTTACTCTTTGCACAACTCCTGAAATGATACGTATTTAACTTCGTTGTTGCAGCTCATACAAGTGCTACCATGGAGAGAGAAGCCTGCCAGGTTTTCATTTTAAACTCCCAGTTTTAGTGGTTTTAAACTCAGCTGTGAAAACTCCCTGCAGGCTAAATCTGCAGCACAACAAGGAAATGGCCCAGCAGCCATTTTCTTAAAAATAGAAAAATATGTTTAAAACGTAATTTGGGACCTGGTAAGTTCCAATAATGCAATGAGCACATGCATGGCTGCAAGCTCATGTGTACTCTTAGCCATCTTTTAAACAAATACTTTTTACCAGCCATTTGTCCATCGTGTGATTTGTTCCCTTGGGTAATTAAAACAGCTCAGTGAATTGAGAGAGGTCATTTCGGCACATGCTCACTAACTTCTTTTCAGCAAACATTTCCGGCAGCTTTCTCCATCCCAGACTAAGGGCACTAGTGCGTGCTGAGGGAAAGGGTGCTGACAGCCCCCAATCCCTGGGCAAGCAGAGGGTGCCAACACAGTTTCAGATGCCAGCCAGAATCCCTCTCTAGAGCGTAAGACAGTGCTGGGAGACAGCGAGGGGTGGGGCTTGTGCATCCCCATCTCGAAGACTACATTCAGTTTGGAAAGGGAAAAACAGAAACGATTGAGAGAGGGTGACAAAAATAATAATAAACAACTCTTGGACTTTAGCACCTTTCATGTGAAGAATCATCATTAACTAACCCTCAGAACAGCCCCATGTAAGTATACCTGTTTTCAAATGGATATGCTACAGGACAGAAGATAAAGGCTTCTTCAGCCAACATATGGAAACAGAACCCTGGAGTCCTTTGCTCTGACCACCAGAAAATGCTCTCTGTCTAGAAGCATGGGAGGGGTATGAATAATCATGAGAATGAAACTATTGGGCTAGAAAGGAGAAGAGTTTGAGGAGACAAAATAAAGGGCTATACAACAATAATTAGTACAGTGAAAGCCATTTGGTGCCTTCTATGGATCCATAACACAGGATAAAAGGAACTAATGGTAGAATCAAAAGCCAATGAATGTACAAGGAACACAAGGTGCTACTTTGTAACAGCATGTAATCCACCTGTACACTCCACTGCCCCAAGGTATCACTGAAGCAAAGAGTTTAGCAATGTTCATCAAAGATTTGACTGTTAGGGCCAAATTTGGAACTGCACTCAGCTGCCTTCGATGGAGGCCTATAGATATATGGATAGACAACTTAACAGTTACCCTTGTAATCTCCTAACTGTGCTAGTGTATCTCCAATCCCTGGCTTCTGGCAGAAGCTTGCTAGAGTTGGGGAGCATGCACTGGCTAAATGAATTGTGGGGGTGAGTTTGTTTTTCCTTCTTTTATAGCATCAGGCATAGGCCACTACCAGGGGCAGGAGACTGAAGCAAATGGAACCATCACAGTTCCTGTGCAAATCAGTGAGCCTTCAAAGTGCTGAGGGAGCCTCCTCCTAGGGACTGAACCATTCCAGTTCCCAGCATCCTCCATGGCAGTTGAGGATGTTCAGCACCTTGCAAGAATGGATCCTAAGAGAGGCTAAAGAAAAAGGAGATGTGCGCTGGCAGACACAACACCACATCAGTGTCAGACAAGAAGTGCTGCAAAGAAAATAGGCTTCATGCATGGGCATACGGTAGGAGCAGTAGAGGATGACGTGACCTAGGGTAAGCAATGGTGTAAGAGCCTTACTTCCGTACACTGTGATCCTTATTATGCATCACAGTTTGGACTCCATTCCATTGTGATACATTCCCAAAATGAACCTGGATGATGAATTATTTTATTCAGAAGCAAATCCCCATTTCAGAGCCATTCTCATTTCTCCCTCCACATTTGCAGAATTCCCTGAACATTAAATTGAAATGCATGAGGGATTAGGCTAAATCTATAGGGACTAATAATCTGCATGTAAAACACTCTGAAATCTTGTTCACATGGGAGCCTGTAACAGCTCTGTCCACTAGGCCAATGCAAGTATTTCACATATGTACACAGGGCCCTGGTCTCCCATTTACTTCCATTGCTTCTGAATCTAGCCCTGGGTTTATTTTTGCACATGTTCATCATGAAAGAACACACTGTTTATGAGGGCAAAGCAGGGATTTATTTTGCATGTTAGCCTGTAATAACATCCAAAAGATGAAAACCCAACATGAGCTTCATTATCGAAAACAGCAAGGCTACAGAACTGTGTAAGTCTCTCCTTCATTTTGAAAGTGAATGTAGGTCTCACACTCAGCTAAGGCCTGATGCAAAGCCCACTGAATTGAATGGGAGTCTTTCCACATCAACAGATTTTGGACCAGGCCCATAATATCCAGAAGTGCAACAGTCCCCAGCTCCAACCTCCAGGGAGATAGTAACATTACAGAGCAAACAAACTCTGGGATCATGCTATCTCCTCCTAGAGCCATCTGTTAGCCCATGGCATTAGATTTAAGTCTTTAGTAACCACTTGCTAACTCACCATTTGTTCTAACTATTTGCTGCTTAATAAGGACAAAAATAAACAAGATATAGTTTCAATCCTCCAGTTTTCTGTGATCAGCCCAAAAAAAAAAAGGTTGTGTTAAGCCAGGAACCAGTGTTCAGACTCAAATAACGCCTTCATTTTTGTACCCACAGTGATCAGCCCACACTACAAACTGCATACACAACCTGAGTTGTTAAAAACAAAAGTTAGCTTGAGTTCTAAGAGTGCGCACACACCAGTTTTAACTTCCTGGTTTTTTTGCACCAATTCAAAATTGTTTAAAGCAACAACAATCACAACAACAACAAAAACAGGAAACCGTTTCATCCCTCAACTACCGACTCAGACTGGAATATTACATGGCACCATTTATCCTGGAGTACATGTTTACAGCTAGTTTACTGCATAAACCTGCAAAAAGTAATTTGTTATAAATGTTTAGAATCCTTTAACTGTACTGGGATGAATGCTCTTAATACTGCAAATGCAGTTGGGGTAATCTACGCAGGCAGTTCCTTCTGCCTGGGATTCTGTAAGTGGCAGCGAAGGAAGTGATTTGCCTGTCATTCTGCAAAAAAGATAAGGGCAATAAAATGTCATTTTTTTAATTGAGAATTTAATGACTGACAGTCCATGAGAGTGAAGTCCTCTATTAATTCACAACACAGCAGCAATGCAAGTTTCACCATACTGTTTCACCTATTCATCACCAGCAAGCGCTGGTCCAAAAACTGGAACAAATACAGGCTTTGCATTTGGTCTTGCTCCTGTAACTTAAAACCTGGCGACTGTTTAATACTTGGTACCATGTCTGTGGTTGGTAAATTGTCTAGGCAACTGAGCATTTTAATAATTTTTTGGGGTTGCGGGAGGGGAGGAAGGGGAGAGAATCTCAACAAAATCAGTAACAAAGAAAACACACAATTGCAGGCACCAGGACCTGATTCTCCACTGTCTTGCACCCGTGTAGTCATTTACCTTTGCAAAGTGGGTGTAAAATGCTACTCTTCAGAGCTGCGAGTGTCTTGGGACAACCACTGACTCAGAGTGCAAGATGGGGGAGAAGCCGGCCAGACTGCATTAGCACAACACCTGACAGTGAAGTCCCACTGAGATTACAAGAAAAATCTCGGTTTATTTTGCCAGTCACCATATCACGGGACAAGCAGGAAATTGTTAAAGGAGCCCCGTCATTCATAAATGTGTATTTGTATCAGATTGGAAATAAGGTGTCAATTTTTAACAGTGAGGGTAATTAGCTATTGGAACAACTCACTAAGTGGTGGACTCTCCATTGCTGACAATTTTTAAATTAAGAGCGGATGTTTTTCTAAAGGATGTAATCTAGCAATTAGTTTGGGGCACTTCTATGGCTTGTGTTATACAGGAGGTCAAACTAGATTATCACAATGGTCCCTTCTGGCCTTGGAATCTATGAATCTAGTTTGAGGCACACCCAAAAACGGGAGCATTCTACACAAACAACACTAGCTAAAGTTATTATTATTATTTTTTTGGCTACCATAATGGCAAAGGCTCAGCTGCCACACAGAAAGCCAGGCACAGAAGAGACCACAAACTGCTGCAGATTTATCTTGTTGCTAAGCAAAGGGCAGTGTATGCTCTTAGGGACAAATCTGGTGCCTGCCTCCAGGGAGGCTCTGGCAGTGGAACCAGTGAGGTCCTGTTGGGCAGCAGGGCAGGGTTCCAGACACAGTCCTTGCATGGAAATCAGATCTAAAGTCATTCCCCGCCTCCCCTCCCCCACCATGGGCCCACGATGTGGATTTTGTCCTTCCTGAGAAGGGAGATGGTGATGACCATATGGTCTAACATGGTCTCCAGGCCCCGCCAGAGAGGATTTCCATTCCTCCATCTTGCTGTGACTCCAGCACTGTGCTCTGGTCGCATATGGCCCTTAATGTCTGAAGACAAGGAAATGTGCTCAACAGGGCCGGCCCCAGACCAACTGGTGCCCTCCCCCCCATTTGCTAAACTTTTTAATACCTTATTTTTTATTCCATTTGTAGCCCGTTTCGCGACTTCAATGCAGAGTTTGCATGCATGATTTATCCTTGTCATATAAGACTGACTGGCAATGTCCCGCCTCTTATATACCTGCAAGGGCATGGCTGACAACATTCTAGGAGGTTCAAGGAAAATGTCTTTCTCAGAAAGTCTGGAAGATTCCACGAGATTCTACAAAGGTCCAGAACATTCTAGGAGGTTAGTGAAAAATGAATCCACATACGGAATACTTGGAACATGTAACTTCAAACATTCTATTTTCCCTTTTGTCGCTAACAACAAAAACAGCCCACCGCCCCCCAAGCCCGGTACCTCAGGCAGTCGCCTAGGTCGCCTGCCCCTAAATCTGGCCCTGGTGCTGAACTAAACCACTCAGAGCATGCCTCCTATCAGCTACTATTCTGAGGGACACTGATGGTGGTCTCGGCAGAAGAGGAGGGCTGCTGTGGCTCCCCCTGCTGGAAGGTTTGTGAGAAAACTCAGCCCGTCTCACAGTTCTGGGGGGGCCGATGAGAAGCAATATAAGGGACTGTTCAGCAAGTGTATTCGTGTGCATGTGATTTTCCTCTTTTTCACGGAACTGAAGCTTCAGACCTCTGAGTCCTGGCTGGTTGGCAGGGCTGTTGTATCAATCCCCTCTGGAATCACAACTCCTCACCTTTGTTTCTACCAAGTGAATTAATGGTACAAGTCTGTTATATCAGTTGAAACAGGGAACAGTGGGCAGTGGGCCATGCACGCACAAGCCTACTGGCCATTCCTCGGTACCCAGGACAATGTTTAGAGCTAGAGAGAATGACCGACAAATCTTCTTAAGAGACAGCGTTCTGCCTTTCTACAAAACACTTTATCTTTCTGCTCATGATCTACCGTAGTAGAAAAGTGTTCTGGATAATCTGTTGCAGATTTCACCTTTGCTAAAGGTCATGATCACCTCTTAGATTCAACGGTTACATCTCACTGGGGGTGGGGAAGTCAGGGCTTGGTTCTAGCCCAGTGAGTCAGTGGGATTACTCGTGGAATAAATCTCTACTCACGGTGAGTGAAGAGCTGGCTACCAAAGGCTGTAAGACACCTCTAAGGGCCTGATCTGCCTCCCTTACTGCTGGCTAGGGATGACCTTTATTTTTGTATCACTTGTTCTTCTGCACAGTCTGAAATGGCGATGTCCCTTGGGATTGTATTTGCTTGTGTTTGTTTGGAGGGGGTAGCCTACTGCCTTCTGTCCTCAACCGTTCTAGGCTCCTGTAGCAGCACAGAGATGAACCTCTGGTCATTGAACGAGTTCCCTCCCAGTTCCATGCTCAACTGCATATTGCTACTATGGGTCATTAATTAAGGTAAAGTTGATACCAAACAATGTTAGACTCGGCCACACTAATTTTAAAGCTCCATCAAGGCAAATGGAAGGCTGGCCTTGTGGTTACAGTGCCATACAGGCAATCTGGGTTCCATTCTAGGCTCTACCCCAGACTTCATGGGTACGTCTTTAGCTCTTTGCGCCTCTGCTCCTCCTGTTCAACGGAAACAAGAACACTTCCTCCTCTCCCCACGCTTTGCTGGTCTTGTCTATTCAGATAGTAAGTTCTGTGGGCAGGACCTAACCCTTCTGCGTGTATGTACAGTGCCTGGCACAATGGGCCCCATTTTTGGTTGGGGACTTGGAGTATAAATAACGGGCCCTGAGCAGACAAAGGGGCTAAATTCTGGTTGAAAATTCCCCTGGAGGATGGGATCCTCCTGGTGGCATAAATCCATCCACTCCTCCCTGACGTAGGGAGCGTACCAAAAGAGGTGTGTCTACACTCCAATTAAAAACCCACTGCTGGCCTGTGCCAGCTGACTCAGGCTTGTGGGGCTCGGGCTAAGGGGCTGTTTAATTGCAGTGTAGACATTCGGGCTCGAGCTCTGGGACCTTTCCACCTCAGTGTCCTAGAGCCTGTGCTCCAGCCTGAATCCAAACCTCTATACGGCAATTAAGCACCCCCTTAGCCCGAGCCCTGCGAGCCTGAATCAGCTGGCATGGGCCAGCTGCAGGTTTTCAATTGCAGTGTAGACATACCCTTATTGATCTTAGGCCAGTGGCTTAAGTGAGAGCCAACCCCTAGCTGCTCTGACTCCCTGAGGCTGAGCTGGTGCAGAATCAGGGATCTCTAACCAGCTCCCTGCCTTCCCTCCATCCCCTGTGCTGAGCAGAGCTTGGATGCAAGGGAAAACAAGCCCAGCAATTAATAATAATTTCAAAAAAATAATTTCAATTTTAAAGCATCACTCTGTACACTGCTTAGAATCCACAAAAACATGAACGCTGTATAATCTGTTAGGAATGTTGATCTCAGGAGGGAGACCTGTCAGATGCAGAATACTTTCAAGTCTTGTCTTATTAGTAATTGGAACTGTAGTTAATATTCACCGTAAACACACCAGTCAGACTTGATAATAAAGAATCACTAGCCTAGGAACACATACTCCACTTTCTCTGCATTTCAGTGTTAACTCAATCTGAAAACAACACTTAAATAGCAAACACAAAAACATTGGTGTGGTACTAACATTCCAAACTTTCCAAAATAACAATCTGAGCAGCAATTCAAGTTGAAAAGCAAGTTGGCTTAACCTTGAGGCTACTAAACGACTTGATTAAATTAAAGGGGTAAAAAACTAATAAATATTCAAAACATTTGACAATGCTTTGTTTGACATAAAAAACATTTAATGCAAGTCTCACTGGAAAACCTGTAAGGTTTTTATACCTTAAATAATGTTTTGCATTTAGAAACACCAAACGATTCCATTTGCAGCCTTTGATTGTTGTCTTCTGTTACTTTAATCACACTGGCAAAATTACAAGATTTCTGTGAAGTCAAAACTGTTTACAGTGCAGTTTTACAGTGCATAGCTTTGCCATGCATTCTTCTATGCATTTTCTGTTGACTTACTCCCTACCTAGCAATACTTTGCTTTTGTTCTGAGCCTTAGTTACCCTGGGGTCTACTCTAGAGCTACGGTATCTCAGGGAGGAATAAAATAAAAATACAATTAACGCCATCCAAAAAGGCAGCATGGAACAATGGACTGGGCATGGTCCTTGGAGCTAGGAGTGCCTGAGTTCTAATTCCAGCCTTGCCACAGCCTCTTTGAGGCTGGCGTACACTTTGAGGATACACATTCTCACATCCCCTTGGTTCTTGTACAGCATCTCTAAAATCCATCCTCCCAAACCCTTGAGAATGCCTTGATCCTCTCTCCCAATTACTGCATTCTCCTCCTCCCCGTTCTCCTTGGCTGGCTCCCAGCAGTCTATCCCAAATATGCTGCTAAAATCATCTCTCTCTGCCATTTGTGCTATGTCCCTTTTCTATTCAGATCCCTTCACTGGCTCCTTCTCATCATGCACAAAGAGCTTGCGGCCCTTAGCTTTACGGTCCTGGCCCAATTCCTCTTCTACCTGCAGCTCTTCTCTCATTTTCCCCATCTGCCTTTCTGCTCTTCCATCCTCTTCCATTTATAGTCTTCTCCCTCTTTTCCACGCTCCACTCAGAACCATCCACCTTTTGTGCACCAACCACCTTCTCTGCATACAGAGTGCTGAAGACCATATTTCTTGTGCAAAGCCTTTCAACAAATAATCTACGAGAGCCAAAACCTTGCCACTGCTTTGAGACCAGCTCTTCCAGTCCCCATTCACATCATATATTATGTGTCTGCACTCTGCTGGCTGGCCAATGTAGACCATTTTGACCATCCAGAATTAGCAAAGTTGTCATTATCTACAACCAAACAGTCAAAATGTATTGCTCCATAGAATCCCCTCAATAAATTGCATTCTCCTGAGAGCACTTTACCTTTCACAATCTGTGTTAGGGATCACTCCTTGAAAGCAAAATGTCTTAACAAGTTATATCTAATAGAAATCCTCATGGGTTTATTTAAGATTGTGAGGGGTTTTTAAATCACCAATTTAGATTTATGCAACTTAAATTGCTGTAACTATCAAATATAAAACATTTCTTTAAGGTGCTGAACATTAAACTGTGGCAAATGTTAGCTGTTGCTGCTGCCGCTTCTTAATTGTTGTTATACCCTGATAAATAAGCTAAAAATGTGAGAAAATAAAATTAGTTTAGAAAAACTGATTTAGCCTTGAGCTTCATCGTTTAACTTTTTATGGTATCCATGACAACCACTGGTCCATTTATTAAATCATAGCGTCCCCAATGTAATACACAACTACTAAAAACTCTAACAATAAACACCAACATTTAGTTAACTGTGTTTAGGTCAAGCACACAAACAAACCTACACCAAAATAAATGACAGAATGCGGGGGGGGGAAATGGATTGTAGACATGGCCTCACTTACCTTAAAGTCATCTGGGAGTAGCAGTTTAGATGTCCTTAGGAAACTTAATATGTATCTGAAAATTTCACCATCTCGATCAATGAAATAATGTTGTTTTAAACTGTCTAAGACAATAGGCTCCGTGCCATTAAACAGACGACTTATTCTGAAAAAAGAAAAGAAAAAAAAATGGGTAGAAGACAAAAATTTCATTAGATCCTGTAGGCTTAGAAACAGTCCAGCCAATTCAGTTGTCTCAGTTCAACTTGCATAGGGATAACAATAATAATGCAGTATCTTAATTCTGTAAACTCTGTGACAAAGGAGAATGTGTGCAAAGATAGATGTTACATACATACATACATACATGTATGTAACACACACACATACATCTATACTGATGGAGAGAGGACCCTATCCCGCAATCGCTCCTCATGTAAAATTCTCATTGATCGTAACAAAGGAAAATGTGCACATAGATGTTATATACATACACGTGTGTATTTAACACACACATACATCTATACTGATGGAGAGAGGGCCCTATCTCGCAATCGCTCCTCATGTAAATTCTCATTGATCAGAATAAGGGTTGCAAATAGGGCCCATAATTTTGCCAGGAGTATTGCCTAGAAGATTTTTGCCCTGCAATAGACTGAGCATAGCTAATATGGATGTGGGGTGCTAACTATGTAATACGTTTCTAATTACCATGTACAGCTTATCCTGGATTGAACTGTGTTGACCTTCTAGTCAGTACATTTTTCACCAGGTCAGTTCTCATTAGCCAAAAAAATATTTCAATTTTTGAGAAGACAGCTTAAATTAACCAACGTTAGTTACATAACCCCCTCAGTGCTAGATATTTAGGCTTCTGTGGCTGGATGGTTTAGACAACTAGTTTTTGCACAGCTAGGAATGGTCCATACAAGCTTCTGCAACTATTCCACTTGAGGCCGTGGTGCTGTTGCCAGTATTCCAAGAGGAGTCATTTCTCACCAAATGAGGCATAAAAGGGAAGTCATTTACGTGTTTTGTTGCCAAAGAAAAGGAATTTAGACATTATGCCAGGTGGCTAATTGGTTTGACATAAACCTGACCAAAATGCAAATTTTTAAATATTTCCTCTTTAATGAGACCATAATTCCAATTCCCACTGCTATCTCCTTTAAGTTGTGAACAATATACTCTACATAGCAAGAGACCTGGGCATTGCCTGGCTGGGATTTCATCCTCCCCAAAGTTACAAATGACTGTTTGGTTACAATATGCTTTGTCTTCCCTTGAGAAATAACACGATACACACACACACACACACAATATTCTTGAAAGCAGCATCATAGACGACAGACAGAAATGACCTATGAAGTAATCGAGTCCATCGCCCCGATAATCATCGTTTCCTACTGCAGTTACTAGTGTTTTGCCACGTTTTGTTTTAAATGTCCCAGACAATGGGAGTTCCATTATTTCCCTAGGAGACTATTCTATGGTCCTCTAGATTCCACTGTTAAAAAAATCTCCCCTGCTAGTTAGCTTACCTATGCTCCCACTATTCACCATTGTACCCTCTTGCATACCCTAAATAATTTTTTCCCACATCTTGGTATTAATACAGTACTCATCAAATATTTGTATGAACTCTTCCCTTAACCAAGCTATACCATACATAGCCCTCTTTTAACCTTTCCTTATAATCTCTCCAGCCCCTTAATCTTTTTTGCTTCTCCCAGAACTCCCTAATTTGCCCATCTCTCTCTGATAATGAGGTGCCCAGAACTGACTGCAGTAAGCCAGGTGCTACTGCACCAGAGCTATTTAGAGAAACTAGCACCTCCATGTTCTGTGATGGATATCTTTGTGTCTGCAGCCCATATTTGAACAGGCCTGTTTTGAGGTTGCATTGTACTGCCAATCTATGTCCACTTCGCTCTCCACTGTTGCGCCTAAATTTGGTGTCTCCAGCTCTTTCTAATTTAGTATAATCTGCAAATTTAATTAATGTGCCATTTACTGTCTTCTATATTAATTATGGAGATATTAAATAAGAATGAACCTCATACAATCTGCTATACTTCACTAGAAATCCTATGCCCTTACCCTGACTCCATATTTTGCTGTTTCTTTGTCCTGCGTTTATAATCCTTCAGTCAGTATCAATACATGTGCCAGTATTTGCATTGTAGTCGATTTGAATTATGAAAATATACCAAATGCTTTCCGAAAACCCAAGTACAACACATCTGCTGCATTTCCTTCAACCTCTAGTTTTGCAAATCGACCAGAAAAAGCAATCAAGTTTGCCTTGCAGTGTTTATTCAGTGTAAACCCATTGTTCCATGAGTTCTCAAAGTTTAAAGGTCTTGTTTTTGCTTAATAGTTATTCCACTATTTCTCTTCTAATTGTTATTTTACCGGAAATACTAGGGGTATCTGCTTTAGTTGTTACAGGTTAAATATACGCTTTGAATAGTGTTATATTTTAGTCCATTAACTAAAGGGTTAATTTCCTTCATGAAGTATGCACCTGGGCTAAAGGAGTCCAGCTGAGTTTCTGTGCAGCTCTCGGTTTAACTGGAAAGAATAGGAGGTATCCTGATACAACATCTCATGTTCAATTTTGCACTTGTATTGAATTAATTTGCTTGGTGACAGAGTAGCTTTGAGAGCTTCTGCAGAAGACTGCTGTCTTACAGCTAGGCTGCAGCTTTGATCTCTTACCCCTTGGAACCTTGCTTCTGAGTTTTAAGACACACTGAAGGAAATCCAATGGCTGCTTTCAGATTATTCAGTATAAAAAGAGGAATGTTTGTCAACAAAGAAGAGATGTAGGGAGGATTGGATGAAGGATTTCCAATTAGGCTGTGCTTAGCGCAGTGCAAGATTTTTATTGTAGAGAAAACAAAAGGCGAGTTTTCAGGCCTGTGTGGATTGCCTTCAGCAGTATTTCTTCACTACTGAATTTGCTGCTTGGGAAACTCACAGAGTGTTGAAAGACTTAACTGCCACCCCAAAAACAGAATGAAAAATGATTAAGGATTTACCTGACATTTTAGGAGGCTCTTATGCTCCAAGAACAAACTTCAATTGCAGTATGTTATGCTGCACCCAGAAAGGATTCCGCCTCCTAAATTATTTCACAAATGCAAACGACACCTTTGTGAAATCCGCTAGAAGGAGCAACATTTCTGGAGCACATGGTGAATTCAGCGAAGAAGGCAGGAACATGGGTTTCAGGCCGAAGCCTTGCAGGTTTGCTGGTGATCTGTAAAGCCATGAAGAGCCTGCTTACCGACAGCTGCACATTAGAAAGAATGATCAGTTGATTTGCTTACTCAGGTAGGCCTCATTTTGGAAGAGATGAAACAAAGCCTGCAACAGTATGGAAAGGAACGGTTTGCAGCCTGTTCAGTAAAGCAATAGCGTAGCAAATAAACTGCAATTTAGGCAAATGAGAGTCAGCGTGCAAGATGCCTGTTTGGAAACCACAAGAATGATCTGTGTCCTTTACAAGACCAGACAGCTGCTGGAACTGCAGATCTGCATATAACTATACAATAACAGAGGGTCATGTGCCTGGAGAGATGTGCTGTTTCCTGGGCCACTGGGATATGGAGAAGCCTCAGGGCTTTAGCAACTTGGCACTGTGGTTCAAGCATGTCACCAAGCAGATATAACAGAGATGCCAAGGGTTGGCTGTCCTTAAGAGTAAGATTTACAGCCCCAAAGAGTGAGATTCAAGGCCAAAGAGTGAGACTTTCCAGGTGGCGTGTTAAGTCATTGCTTAAGACAGGGACTCTCATCTTTGGTCCTCAGCGACATCCAATAGTCCAGGTTTTTAATCCAACCTGCGCTTAATAGTTTGTTTTAAAATGTAAACTGCTAAATATTGCACATGAAACACTTAAATGTCCTAATTCATACTAAAGTCTAGGGCAGTGGTTCACAACCTGTGGTCTGTGGCCCCCTGGGGTCCATGGATTACGTCTAAGGAGTCTGCAAGATTTAGACTGTAAACTGACTGAACGTTGCCATTTGACATTTCCAAAAGGGTCTGCACCTCCATTTGAAATTTTTTAGGGATCCACAAATTAAAAAAGGTTGAGAACCACTGGCCTAGGGCACATGAGAATTTTATATACAATGCAAACCAGTGAATGTTAATAAAAACAATTATTTGCTGGTTGGAACAAAAACCTGGATGGTTGGAGATCCCTGAAGACATGTGTGGTTTAAATTTTGAACTGTACTTTGCAGAACCTGCAAACTTTTGATCAAGTCCTGCCCATTTTCTGGGCGAACTCAGATTTTTTTGACCACACACGCAGGCGGATTAGGAGTTTGTGGGGCCCTGGGCCAGAGCAAGTGGGGGTCAGTCCCCCCTCCCAGCATCCTGCCGGGGTCTAGGGTCAGGGCATGGGGGCTTCCCCTGCTCCCCATCAGGAGCCCTGGGCAGGTGGAATAGATTGGGGCACGCCCATTTTTCAATTGGCTGGGGCCCCATTGGCCCAATGGCTAAGCCGCCACTACACGCACATACACCGCCTCCTTTCTCGCCCATATAGAATGCCTGCCTACCTGCAGTCTCCATGGTTACCAGAGTACACAAGCTTGGAAAGCAGCTTTCCAAGCTCGAAGCCCTGTGCCTGAGGCCCCGGATGTACTATTGTTTCTTGCAGCGCCTGAGTAATTTTAAATCTTTATATATTTACTCAAAATGAGTGAGATAAGCTTTGGAATGTGTGTGAGTGAGATAGCATATTAATGAGTGAGTTGCACACCCAATGAGTGAGACTTGACATGTCTGTATTCACAGGGAGAAAAGCGAGAGGAAGGGATATAGAAAAGATGGCAGGAGAGCATGGTTTGCACTGCACAAGGAACCTCCTGACGTTCAATCCACCAATGATTATTGTTGTAAGTAGTAGTATTCATCACCCAATATCTGTGGCAAAATGATATGAAGCCAGCTTCAGCAGAAACCACTTGCTTTCACTGATGTTTGGAAGGGAGTGGAGAGCTCAAGAAAGTGAAATACTAGGGGAGGTGGGAAAGTTTCCAGCACTGAGATCTTATTTAATATTTCCAAAGACTTCTACGTGTCTTCGCTAGTAATATTATACTTTCTGATTAATAAAGACATTTTTGTCATGATTTAAGTTCCAG